GTCATGGCGGGCGGTAATTAAAATATTCTTTTTTGTGTAGTGATTTTGAAATTTACTCGTGATTTTCACGCATCAGTTGTGTGATAGATAGTTGCTAGGCTGGGTGACGCATTTGTTATTTATTGAATTGGAAAAGGCCTAGTACTTAACGTCCAGTTTCTATAACCAATCTATCTGTAGATTTGCTTACTAGAGATAGAATTTTGACATGAGCTCCATACAAAATGTGTCAAAATTCTATCTCTAATAAGCAAATCTACAGATAGATAGGTTATAGAAACTGGACGTAAATCAATAGTTACTTACTTATTCGTCCAGTAATAACACGAATTGAAACGCAATGCATCATGCATACTTTTTACAGCCTTTTCGACGTTTATAGTGCGCATATTTCTAAGTAAATCCCTATCGTGTATGACAGGTTTATGAAATTATATAGTCAAAACATCGTATTTTAGAATATTGTAGAATAAATCTGCCCTTTCTAATTATACAGAATTGGCATACAGTGAAAATTGTCCAGAAAGACATGTCTGCACCTCGCTTCGTCCACTTTCTTCGTCCCACTTCTAGCGAAAGAAAATCCTGTTCCTTTAATAGCTTTTACATGGATAATTATTATTTTATGAAACAGGTTGACTTTCAAAAGCAGTTAATATCTAACAATATTAAAATCTCGTAAAACGTAAGTTAAATAATGACTAATCTGCAGTATTATAATGATATAGCTTAAATAAAAAAACGATACGAATATACCAACTTAATGAAAAAGTACCTACACGACATTTGAATCTAGATGCAACGAAATTCTTGTAAAAAATAAGCATCAATTCAAACCGCAAATAAAAAACACGTTCCACGCAGCAATCCTTACACCAATAAACTTAACGTTCTATTACGTTGGCAATGACATTTCAATAGATCTACATACATCATTTGAGTGATTGTGCGTAAGATATGCATGAGGAGCCGAAGACAGGTTGGTTTTCCAACGTTTGCCACATCGAATGAGGCGTAGCAACTCACATTTACTGCTACAAAACTCATCTGAGGTTGTCAACTTTTTGGCTGATGCAATAGGGTAGCTGGCTTGCGTGATGCTTGTTTATCCTTTGCAACAACAAGCGATCAAGCGAGATGAAGTCAAAATGTCTTTGATAAAAAGGTGAAAATTGTATATCAGGGTATGCTTTAGGTAATACTTGGGCTACCAGTTTATATGTGTTATTTGAGCACACACACACATAGAAGCCTGATCGCAATCTCACACAGGTTTGTGATATAACTGGGTTTTTCAATTTAATGTAAGTACCTATAAGTGCCTTTTGCAACCTCGACGTGTACTAAATAAGTTCTAATAAGCTTCAAGCACTTGTGATTTGCAAATTGCTGGTAATAAATTGTAATATTTAATGTGCTATGGACGTTAGTTTTATGAATTGATTTTATATTACAATTTACCAAAAATGATTGAACAACTAACAGAAGTTATGAAAAATATAATTAAATGTTCTCTTTGGCTGCTATATAAGTTCCTTGTACACCAAAAATATGAAAACTAATAATTATTGATTATTCAACATTTTTGGCGGTAACAAATACGCAAAACGTATTTGGTAACCACCAAATGTGTATGTAGGTATAAGTAAATTAAAATTATAAGCTGTATATATACCTCATATTATAATTCTCCCTTTGATCTGATTTAGTTATTAGTTATTTTGGTCACTCTAATAATATTCTAATTATTCTAATAGATTCAAATATATTCACAAGGATACTTATAAAATCCAGATCGAACTGGTTGATCTTTTGGCTAAACCGATTCGAGTTTTATAAATATCACGTTCAGTGAATGTGAGTACTTTGTATTTTTCCACAGTAAAAGATCGTTATATAAAAAAACGATGAAAGAAGATTCATTTTATTTGAATTTTATAGAGCAATCTAATCTTAGATCTGATGACATATCCAAGATTTAGGTATGAATGATCTGAACACGCTGAGAAACTAATACGTAAAACGTCGTAATAGAAATAAGTGTCTACTAATATAACACATATTTTACTACCTCATTACTGTATTAATAATTTTCTTGACAATTACAATAAAAAAATTAATGACCGCAGCAATAAATAACGTCAATATACATACAAAACTCATCAACCATGTAATTATGACTGACATGACTTCACATTATAATGGCAATAATTACTCATTTATAACATTAGAATATTATTAAAATTTTCAAAAAATATGACGAAATGTTAATTGTCGTTTATTTACAATTATATTAACGAATATTTTTATTATAGCAATTACAGCTTCCAAGTCTGGAAGCTGCGCAAGCTATAACTCGTGCGCATGTGTGTAGTTGTGGATCAAGCCACGAGTAACGTCATACGAGACGTTTGTTTTACATTCTGGGAACAAATAGGCATTTTTTTAAGGGGGAAAAATCATCGAATGATTGCTCCCGCCTGGGTGAGGCGGGAGGGAGTGTCAGACTCTTACCGAGTAAAAATCACCCTGTTTCTTCTCCTGCGCTTCGAGCCGGAGTCTCAATAACCCGTTACGTTCTCCACGACTCCGAATCGACAAATAGGCATTAGGAATGAAACTCCCAATTGAGTTACTAGTTAAGAAAACACCTTTCAGTTCTGAATGTATACAACACGTGCATAAACAACGATTTCCATTCAACCGGAATTTCGTAGCAGGAAGTGTTAGCCACGTGGAGCTAATAATAATAAAGTCTTAGTTGACAGAATGAATTAGCAACCTTGTATGAAACGTTAATTACTGAACTGTTGAAATAATATCTTTAAATGAACTACCTACTTACTTAATAATAGGTATCAATTAAGAAGAGGCTTCTCTTACGAGAAATAAGATATTTCAGCGCCTATAATTCTTACTGGAGGTTGTTAAAAACATTTACATAAAAATAACAATCGTTAGGTACATGCTATTTCCTTTATGTCGAAACTCAAAACTTAGCAAAAGAAGGAATCAGTTCCATTGTAAAAAAAAATCATTTTAGTCGGTAAACACCATTCCAAACCAAATATTAATATGTCGTGTTACATTAAAAATAAGCGTTGCGTAACGAAATGTGCAATCTTTTGCAAAACAAATAATAAACATTATTTTGCAAGAATGTCCTTTCGCTGCGCTCAGTATGGTCACCGTACGAAATCGTAAGTGCCGCGGTGTTTATGCGATAGTGGGTGCATTCATTCATTCACGTTTCAATACAAACCTTATTCCTTTGGTATAAAGTTTAGTATTACGTACTTTATTTATGTAAGACGACGTAACACGAAGGTCTGAAGTAATTATGGACGTTGAACTCAATTTTTCTTTTTACTTTTACTGATACATCTTGTCTTTTAATCCCGAAAGGGAAAGTCCAGGTCATTCAGTTCTATTACTACGTTATTACGCATGTCATCTATAATTTCAAGTCCCTTTATAATAAGGAGTGGCTCTAGCAAATAACGACAATTTAAAACTAAGCCCTATTCTGAAGATGAAAATCAATTACTTAGGCATTCAGTTGACCTGAGGTTTGAAACAATCCCTCACTTAAGACACTCAATCTAATTAATTGCCTATAAACATGCATTATAATAATATGAGTCTTATTAGAATTTTAAAAAACAAAAGAAACACTAATGCTACCAAATTATAAGTACTTATTTTATTTTTCAAAATAATCGAGTTTCATTGGCATATGTTCAGAAGTCAGTGAGCGTTGGACATTGTCAATATTGATTACGAAAATTACCATACGGCATTGAGAACAACAATAGCAGCCAGAAGAATGATGTAACATTATTTTTAACAATTAGGGCTTCTTTTAAAGCCCACAAAAATCCTTTTAAAAGTCTATAGTTAAAAATTTTGTTCAATATGTAATGGGCAAATATTTTTCGCATAAGTAGGCATGACGATTGCCAGTCTAAGCAAATATTGGAACGATAGAGCAAGCAAAGAGCAACAATCGATTTTGTGAACAATACCAAAGAAACATACTTTTGGTTGTCAAGCAATACTTATAAGATAAAGTAAAGAATAATAACAGGCTGAAATTACTTTTAAATGGGGATCATAGAGACAAAGGTAATAAAGGTTAACAGAGTGCCAAGCACGAATAACTATCGCATTCGTAACGTAATAGTATCGAGCGCGTTCGGCGCAAGTGAACCAACCAATCAGAACGATTAACTCGCTCGATACTGTTACGATACGAATGCGATAGTTATTCCTCTGTCTTCAGTTCGAAAGTTGTAGAACTTTAAGACCAAGTATTGCCGGTGTAGGGCTAAGTAGTGGGAGAGCCATGCTTTGGCACGAATGGGCCGGCTCGACCGGAATGATACCACGGTCTAACAGAAAACCGACGTGAAACTACGCTTGCGTTGTTTCGTTTCGTCAGTACTTGTACGCCTCTGGTATTTCATGTGTCCGTGGGCGACGCCGATGGCTTACCATCAGGTGATCCGTCTGCTCGTTTACCGGCATTCCTATCTCATAAAAATTAGGTATTCTGACATGGACATAAACCAAATCCGTGCGCTTCTTTAGAGAATCCTTTTATCGATAATACTTTTACCCCACCATTCGAATCTAGACCGCATGCTCAACAGTTGTATTGGTTACTATGAAGATTTTGTCGCATAAGAAAATAATACTTAGAATAAACGAATCAAAATTTAGGAGTGGGAGGTAAACCGTCATTACCTACTACGTATAAAATGTACAAAGAAGTGACGTCACGCGATATTTCAAATGAATATATCGCCGAAAGTATTCGTTTCTGTAAGAAAATAAAAAATATGTGTCTAATGTTTTAAAATAATCTATCAGACGGACCCTTTGAGTATCGTCATTATAGACACAATTAAAGAACAATAGGTTGCGTTCACCGGTGTCCTCGCGGTGTTTGACTGTTTAAAAAAAAAAGGCATGCATCTTATTTAAAAAAAAAAACTCACATGTTTGATGTTAAAGTGCAGGATGCTCTCGATGTAGCTGGGCAGCTGGTTGACAACGGTGAAGTAGCCGAAGACTGAGGCTCCGTGGGTGATGATGATGGCCCACACTGGAGGAGACAGCAGCATCTTCTTCCATGGTACTGGAATGTGCTGTGGGAAGAAGATGATTTATTATCATTTGAGTAGGTAGGATTTATAATCATGTTAATAAATAAATATTATTATTGTCATCATAGCAACGAGAATACTTTTAACTACAAATCGCAGGTTACTCAAGTGAATATACTGAGAAAATCTCTACTAGTTTCGAACCACAGCAGATAATCCACATCGCCGCGACAGCGCACGCTGCTAATGAGGAAGAACCCCTCTGTAGCTCGAAACTAGTAGAGCTTTTCTCAATATATTCACTTGAGTAAACCGCGATTTTTAGTTAATTTAATATGTCTCACGATACAGTGACAGTTGTAAAGATTTATTTATTTTAGAGGTATGAAGATCAGGTTTTTATATTATCTATGTTTCATTGTTCATCATTAAGTTCTATACGTCCCATAAATCAGTCTTCAAAGAAAAGAATAAAAAGTAGCCTGTAAACGTTCTCGTAATTAGTATTTTATATAGGAAATATAATATCAATTACATAATAAAATTATAAACACGAAACATATGATGATATGACACATTTATTTAAAATTCAAAAATTTTACACATTATTCCATACAAACGCCATTTTCCATAGCGATAATTCCAAGAATCGAATCACACATTGCTGCGTGCTTATCATACGAGTTGACTCAATCTACATGACATCATTATTACTGCACATTTCATTATTTAATAAAACCATGTCCTCTACAATCTGATACAAGATACAAGTTAGATATCATAAAAAAGAATATTTAATTTTTAATATAGTGTAAAAGCTGTTATTGCCGTTAAAATGTTAATAAAAAAGTTATATTGTAACTGTGTACTGGAAAACTATTGGAAAATAACCATAAATGCAAAGAAAAAATCGTAGTTCGTGTTGCTCAACAGACATAAAGATGAAATTGAATCGTTGCTAAATCGACATAAAAAACTGTACATTTGACAAACCCATGGGAGAGGTAGCGCAATATCTGTTTCTGTTCTTAGTCAGTGACGTCATTAGACAATCAACATTATTCGCGGTCCTAACATAGTTCGCAGAACAACACGGAATTTACCCTGTAAGGAAAAGTGTCGCCAAGAATTACGCCTTTGCAATGCGCAACGGTATTTTAATTAAAAACAACATAAATCTCAGCATTGTAATTAATGTAATTAAAACAATACAATTTATTACAATGAGCTAAAATTACACGTAGCGAATTCAATGTGTAGTCTAGTTTAGCTCCGCATTTCATAGCCACATTAAAATTTAAAACGCATAAATTGTACGTGGGAGGCATAATAAAATTCTTTTTTCAAATTCCGTATGTTTTAGCGCATTTGTTACTATGTCAAGTAACATCCTGGCCGGTAATAATAAATTAGAAAAAAGAACTAAATACGCAGTAAAATATAATGCAATTATTTGTCTTGTTTTTTTTTTCGAACGGCATTGACAACCTGTTTTTTGCACGTAGTAAGTCGTACGACATTTTGTTTTTTTTTACAATTAGAATGAGGATGCCATTTCATATCTAACTTAAGCGATAAATAAAATATAATTGTATTTTAAAATGTTAAACGTAAACATATATTCGATGTTATGATTATGAAAATTAAGTTTTTTTTTAATTATATAGGCTAAGAATTATTATTATTTAAATAAGATTTGTTCATCAAAGCATGTGGACATTACAGTAATAGTTTAGAATAACATTGCCTCTTTGGGGCTTAAAACGCTGTGTTTATGGAGAATGGCCATTAATATTGAGTTAGGTTAAAGCAATATTTTATGGTCTTAGTAATCAATGCACGTAAGACATTGTGGAAGGTTTTTGTTCCAAAAAGTTTATGACTCAGGACATACATACCTACGTGTAGTACTTTAAGTACTAAGACTTAATGCCTGCTACGTGCTATTTTGTAAACTTAACATTGCATTAGGTCCATTAAAATATGAATTGTATGATCTAAATTGATATGATTTACTGTATCTAATACTATGTCATCTATGAGATCTAAGATTTTTAGACATCACGTGTCCACATGGGAACTTTAACATTTAGTAGGAAAAAACTATAAATTTTCGTAAAAACAAATCTTCCGTAATTTAGACAATTGAATTTAAAATAATAACATTAATACAAAATCACAAGTGTTTAACTATAACAATACATTCATTAAACCACTTGTACAATTACAATCATTGCAAATCTGAAATCTAAATTTATGCGCAGGCGCACAGGCTATAATTTATGGCGTTGTTCACACATTGTCGACTAGTGCGTACATCTATTGTTTGGTTTTAAGAAGGAAGTGGGCGATTTTATGGAAACTGGTGATTCATGGCCACAGTATTTGATTGAGATATATTAAGTATCAGCTTTTGCCTGCGACTTTGTACGCGCAATCCCGTTTTCTCCCGTTCCTGTAGGATTTCTTCTCCTAATAATAACAAATACAACAAAAAAGAATTAGTGAAATCGGTCCAGCCATTCACGCGTGATGTCGTGAGTAAGGAAAGGCGGGATTAATTTTTACACATATAGATTTTTGATTTTACATCGTTTATCATCATCAGTATTCATCATCATCTTCAATTATTATGTGCAAACCTTCTTTTCAGTAAATCAAGCGGCCATAACTAATAAAATTTCTTTAATAAAGTAAATTTAAGGACATTGGATACCTCAGGACAACTCGGTGTGTTTCACCCTCGGTTTCTGAGAAAGAGGGAATAATTTCAACTAGTGCACATAAAATATGCCACTTGAGTACAGCTGCACTCTAAACTCGACTGAAAAACCCAAACACTTGATTGAAGTACTAGTTCTATTCACATCTAATGCGCAAATCATCGTCATGATTCAATTGTATTACAAGATGGACGACAATGACAATTTCAATGTAAAATAAAAATGTTGCGTATTATAACAACAATTAAAGGATAATCCATTGTGGTTGTACTTGTAATGCTTTTTTTCATCTTAATAAATATTTTTTTCCTGTTGTCACTAAGTTTATGGACGTGAGATTGTCACTTTGACAATTAAGCCGCCATCTTTACATTTTTGGCGCCATTTCGTTTGTGATGTGAAAATTTTCAATTTCTATTTACTTTTCTGCCACATAAATAAATCTCGTCAATACTAATTGAAGAAAATGATGAATAGAAAAAATATGTAAATGATTATTTTGTAAAATGTCAGCTCAGTATCAATACCATAGATCTAGAAACACGGTAGTGCAAAGTGTACCCGCCAAGTCGAGCATGAAAGCGGCACAGGCGTAGTATCTTTTTTCGAAGCGGTCAAAGTAATTTTCAGCCAAAATTTTTCTATTCACTCGCTCAACATTTAAATACCATATTGTCAACCGAACTGAACAAGCGTTTAACAGTATCCTACCTAATTAGTTAAGCAAATGATGACAAATGTTCCAATTCGATTATATTCAAATGACTAACCTTGATATGCATTGTGCACACTTCAATTTATTTATGAGTATGTAATTTTGTTATGTCGGCGGAATTTTAATTCGCACAATGTTAATCGTTGCCAAAAATTCCGTAGTCAGAAAGGGCATTCAATTGATGGGGTTTTTCCTTAATTTAATTTATGCTGGAGGGCTTGCAATGCAGGTTTGGCAATGAGATCAATTTATCGTGTTGTCAAGTAAATTGAAGGTTGTGGTGCAATAAATAAAATTCATTTTCGTCCGTTACTAATTAGATTTCGAAGGTGTTTTCCACAAAGAGTCTTATAAAGGTGCAGTATAGTAAAGTTAACATGTTATTAAATTATTAAATAACAGGTAACTTGGCGACTTTTTTAACCGGCAATTGAACACCAAGGATCAGATCAGTCTTGTTCATATTATACGATATGAAATTTCCAAGAAAGCAATGAACAGTAGACTAAGTTACTTACTCCTTTGCTGTTGTTGTCCTGTGGCAGCGCCTTCATGAGGTAGTTGCGCTCCGTCTCGGATATGCGAGGGTGCTGACCTGGAGTGTCGTACACCACTGCGAACCATGCTACTGACCACATGACTCCGATGATACCTGTAGTATAATAGAGGCTTAGACTACATGCTGGTAGAAAATAAAGTCCAATTTTGCTAATTAAAGAACCCATCTTTCATCATCACCATTTTCTGTCCACTATACTGTTCTTTAATCTAAAACTAATGGACATACAATTACGAGACTTTTAAATTAGCAGAATAAGGACCCAATTATGCCACCACTAGCTTTTACCCGCGGCTTCGCTCGCGTCACAAAAGGAAAAAAAGTAGCCTGTGACATAATAATATACCAAGACACACAGCGCGATCTATACCAATACTTTTATATTCCCTCGGGAATATCAATTTTTCCGGGATAAATGTACCCTATTATTTAATCCGGACTTCTAACTTTACGTCTGCAAAATTTCAAAGCAATCGATTTAGTAGTAACGGCGTGAAAGCGGAACAAACAAACAAACAAACTAACTTTCCGATTTATAATATTAGTAAGGATATTCTCTATAGAGCATCTTTCAAGGGCTAGGCTAACGATGGTTTTATACCTCGAGTCCACAAACACCAACTTTCTATGAGTTTTATTATTTCAATATCTCTAGGTGATAACTCTGAAAACTTTCCCCCGCAACCTCTAACTCAATATCGTTACGACCGTTTTGATATTCCATTCGAGTATTCTATAAGTGCTAGAAAACCAGATAATAACTAAATATACAACGAACATGATCCTTTAGTGGGCTCTAACTTATTTGTAATGGATATTGAAATGCTAATTTACAATAACTTTTCTAAGTAAACTAACTGGATAGGAAGTGCGTCGATTAATTGGATACAGCTGGATCCACGTGAGACACAGTGTATTTTCTATTGTGCCTCATATTGGTGCATTCATGCTGCTAAATGATTTGGTTGACGAAATAGACAGCTTTTACTCAAAATTATGAGTAGAATCACGTCATCGAAGTGCAAAGACCAGAGTCAACCTGATTGACCAGTCATCAGACCAGAGTTTGGACACACCCTGGATATTATTAACATACATATAGTACCTAAGACGTAAAGCGTCGTAGATGTGGCCTACAAAATAGAAAAAAATAGCGACTACGCCATTGGGTATTTAACTTAAATATACCTATTTCAAAATAAACACCATAAAGGTTAAATTCTCCTTAAATAATGTGGTACTTTACCTGTGAAGTAGAAAGCTGACTCCCATCCGAAGTGGGCGATTAGGAAACCGCAAATCGGCATGGTCATCGCTGCACCCAAGGATGACGCTGCAAGAAACATACTGAGGTTAGGAAAATCAAATAAATTATGGTTTTGAAGTTCCAAGAAGCGAATTGATTAAAATTCTGAGTATATTTTGTACCTGTACAGAATCCTTATGGCCGTTTCCACCATTAACTAACTAGCTAGCTAACTACTTAGCCTGACTTAGGCCCGAATACTGAAACCTCAAGTTTAAGTTGTACTTAAATATCGTGCCATCTCTGTTATTTTACAAAGAGTTAGTAATTACGGAACTATACATAAGCGCGACTTAAGTATAGTTCTGTCACTACAATTTAAACTAAAATACAATTACTTTAATTAATATTTGTACACTAGTCATGTTGATACAAACAATACTGTACATCTATAGTAAACATCCATTTTTGCATGTATTATTATAACCTACATATGTTTTGGCAAATAATACGATCTTTATCTTTAAAATTGAATAGCGTTTGAGTATTTCAGCGTTAGTACCTAAATTAAACCCCTTACTGGCAAATCTTTTTAAAAATAGATTTATGAAACCCAAAATGTTAAATGTCACCCATCTTAGCTTAGAGGTTCCTTAAAAAGAGAGTGGTGCAAAACGGGCATAAGTCCATAAAATAACAATAGTTATTTTTTTTTTTTTTTAAGGGGCTTAGTTACTAGGTTTTTTTTTCAAAGTAAATCTTTACTTAGACTTCATTCAGCAATTATTGGCTAACGATACGGACTTGGAATCTCACTTGCTCGTATATTTTCTACAGACACAAATAAACCTATAAATACAAGATTTATATGTATAGAAATAGGTTTTATAGCAATATAAACGTAGGTGTAATACAGCTATTTACACCGACCTAAATCGATAGGCTGACTTGTTTATCTAGGATTTTGAGCTTTCAATTTATCTAAATGTTCTGGGAAATCTGTAATAAGATAACTCTGCTTACAATGTTGCAGTATTACGTGGATATAGTTATCGTTATTAATCACAGCTCTTGTCTGTCACTAAAAGTAGTAAAATTGCCTTCACACTAGCATTTGCCGAGCGTAGACGGTTGATAAACGTATGCGCCGCGCAGACGCGGCGCTGGAAAAACTCTATTGTTAAGGCGCTCTTATAATGTAGATGCGAAACATTCTTTCTTTATCTTTCTTTCACGTTGTTACAGAACATTTGTATGGTATGATTTTTGTGTCTGAAGATAGAAAAGGTGTCTTATAAGACATTGATGGGAGGACGTTACTACTTTGTTTCCTGTGTCTAGAAGCTGTAGCCAAATGCCACTTAGCGCTTGTCTACATGTAGAATACAAAACCAAATTATATGAAATTGACGTAAATTTTGACACTTGTCAGTGTCATGCCCATAAATTTTGATTTCTACTCTCTCTGTAGACAAGCGCTAAAGTGGCGTTTGGCTAAAGGCACTGCTGTGCTAAATATGATAATTATTGTTACTTAACTATTTGTAAAACTGACAGGAATGGATATCTATCTTTATAAACACGACATGGTTACATGGGTAATCTTCTTCTTCAAGGAAAAGAAGCAATAAATGGATCCATGTCAATTTATTTATGAAAACATTATGTATGTTAGGAAAAACCTACAGTTATTTGGTAAAGTGTCGGACAGACACCACTATCAAACTACACTCACAGGCACATTTAACCGCCCACCTTGATTTTCTGGATTTTCTCGTATACTGCCTATAACTGGGAAAGTCTGATATTTTATTTTTAAACTAGGCACATCTTGCCATTTAAACACTGTGTAATAATGTAAAAATCGGCATTTATTCACCATTTAAGTAAAAAAAAGCATTTTTAGTGATTTTTGTTGGAAAGTATAGATTTACAATATTGTTAATTTTTAATTTTCTGTGGTCGTCTAGTGACTTTTAGTAATGGGTATTACCTCCTCGGGCTCTGATGACTTCTTACAGTCGGCTTGGAAGTCCATCAATGACATCTTGGATGTCAGACTGAGGGATGTTGTGACACTCTTCTACTGCAGCAATCTTGAGTTCTCCAATAGTCGTTGGTGCAGGAATCCTTGCTCGAACCCGTCTTTTAAGGTTGTCCCAGATGTGTTCAATTGGATTGAGGTCAGGACTGCGTGCTGGCCACGGTAATGTTCGTATAGCGACCTCGTCCAGGTACTGGGTCACTATTCTAGCGACGTGGCATCGGACATTGTCGTGCATGAATTGAAAATTGTCACCAATAAATGGTGCAAATGTCTCGGCGTGGTCTTGCAAAACCTCCACCAGATATCTGTGTGCAGTAACACTGCCTCTATCACACACTACGAGGTCGGTACGAGCGTAATAACTGATGCCCCCCAAACCATTACTGAACCTCCCTGATAACCCACAGTTTCCACTATTGTACACGGAGCAAACCTTTCATTTGGTCATCTGTACACTCGCTGACGCCCATCTGGACCTCGTAGGGCTATTCTACTTTCATCTGAAAACAGAACGTCCTTCCATCGGTCCATAGTCCAGTCAGCGTAATCTCGCGCAAATTGAAGTCGCGCTCTACGGTCCTGTGGGAGCAATTCTGGGGATTCCGCGTGCAGGACGTAATGCAGTCAGGTTCCTCTCTGCCAACCTTCTTCTCACCGTCCGTTCACTTACGCTGACATTTCGTACTTCAAACAGGCTAGTTATCACCTCGGGAGCAGTGGTGAAGCGATTTCTCAGCACATTGTTCACAATGAAACGAGCCTCTCGAGCAGATGTGCACCGATGACGGCCTTGTCACGGTCTCTGCGTGTTGGAACCCGTCTGCCGAAAGTGCCTGATATCATCCCGTACAGTGGTTTGAGGTACACCAAGCATCCGAGCAATGCGACGTTGGCTGTACCCAGCATCAGCAAAAGCTACGGCTCTTGCAGCTCCAATTGCATCCAGTGGCATTTTTGGGTGATTACAGTAATCAAATTAATGCAATAATTTAACAGAACAGTAATTACACCAAAAAGAGCAGGATAACCAGGTTAAATCTCACACTAATCCGATCGCAAGGAATGTCAAATTTCGACTAAATTACAAAAATGAATCTGTATACACGAACTTTCTATTACAAAAAAAAACAAGGGTCAGAGTGTTTAATTTGTTGCCAAAGTACCCACTTGAAACAAAACATCCATTGGGATAAACATTCCTTATCGCAAACTAACGTGGTGACGTATTTCTTAAGTGGGCGGTTAAATGTGCCTGTGAGTGTAGACATAAGAATAGATTAAGTCAGCCAATTTCGAGATTAGCGAAAGTAAGTAAGTCGTTCATGGGATTCTGTGTTAAATGTTATAATAAGATACCAGGCGATGTACAACAACTAAATGAATCGAAATTTAAATTATGTATAAAGAAAACTTTATGTAGACAAGCATATTACAAACTTAATGAATATATAGAGGATAAAAATGCTTGGATGCAGGCTAGTCCGGCTCCACAGGATAACTAAAAACACTTGTTTTAATGAAATCGTAAATAATACAGCCATATTGCTAAATTGTATATTGTTTAACTTAGATAACCATTGTAAATGTGAGAGCCCTGTAATTAACTTAATATTAAATTAGATTAGTAGATTTCATTTGTGTCAGCTTGGAGTTGTCATGCTCACTCAAAGGTCTCATTGGCGGTGGCGCGTGCAGTGGATCGCTCGATTCCCTACAATATGGTTGAGTTGGGCGGTGTGGTGTTCACTGATTTGAATATGGAAATTTGTAATAAAACAACTTTGTTTATAGTAAGTAGTGCACCGCTCAAGGGAACGTTCGCCCGCCACTTCTAACAGATGGGAAGTGTGTGGTGCGACACCGTTGACCTGTGACTTCATTTATTGTTTATATATCACATCTCTTCCTTTTTATATTAATTTAGAATAAGAACTATATTTATAATTACTACCGCTTCCTATTTTGCTGTGGAGAAGAAACGGCGCAACAAACTCCCCAGCAGCACACTGTCTTTTATAATTAAGTTTTATTGAATATATAAAATTAGTCATACTTAAGCAGTTACAATGAACATTAGGACAATGTTTAATTATATCAGAACTGAATTAAGTTTCTGAAATCAATAAAACTTTTAAACATCTGATGATACCAAAGCAAATTATTTAACTCATAAATCTAAATCTGAATTGTAAATCTAAATCTAAATTGTAAATCTAAATCTTAATTTTGAATTAAACCTAACTAAACATCATTGTCTGAGGATTGAGGTTTTTCTTCACTACCAATGACTTTCTATTGGCCTTCTACTTTTTAAGATGTACAATGTTTTGTCTGTACTCCTGACCAGTATCATCATTCCTAATATGTACATCGCTTCCTCCAGTGTTAATGAGGAGTATGAGGTGTTGGATTAAATTCAGAAGCTAATTTGTTGTCTTTTACCAAGTTCTTCACATATACCGTTTCTCCAATTTCTAATTCATTATCTACTTGTCTTCATTTAACTTTCCGAGTTCATTTTTTTCTTGATCATGATCTCTAACTTCGGAATCATTGTAGTTACTTTCGAGTTCAGTTAAAAAGGGTAATTTGTCTCTAAATTGCCTTCCATAGAAGAGCTCTGAAGGAGATTTTCCTGTGGAAGGATGAGGTGTGCTGTTATACATCATAAGATATTTTAATAAATCATCTTTCCAGTCCGAATTCTCGCATTGACTGATTCTAAGCCGTTTGAGGATGTTATACTAGAAGGATTTCCCGTACGTGAAAAATTGTTTTAACACCTTTATTGTATCTTGTGTAGTTATAGATTTCATAATTTCGATCTCTTTGTATCGGCTGTAATCAATGATTACAAAGAGGTAATCTCTACTCGGCAGTGCTATATCTACCCAAGCCTTTGAAGGAAGTTCACGCCTTTTCATAGGTACAAGAGGATTGGGGAATGAGACTAAAGTGCACCCTCAGCAGTTTTATAGTATTTTCAGCATCTTTGTCCATTTTCGGCCACCAAACCTTTGTACGTAATATAGCTTTCTAA